GGCCCGCGAAGCGTCCAAAGACTAGACGAAAAATCGACGTGACCGATCGTCGCGTTCGAGGTTCCAGGTTAAAAAGAATTATTGGATATTATTAGTCATTTTTATTATTCTTAATCGTTCACAAAATTCCATTACCTGTTCGGGACTACAGTGTTAATTTTAATTTTTATTTGCATCGTTCTTTTTTAACTTTAAAGGTGAATAATTGTTTGAAAAACCAACGCTGGGAAAATGTTTATACAAATTGTATTAATACTGAAACACATAGATGAATGTAAATAGTAGTTAACTGTAAAAGAACATTTTATTCTCTGAAACGGGCTTCTTTTATGGCATCCGAACTTACGCGTATTATAGTATTTGAAAGTTCACTTCAAAAATTAAACTACGCGACGCAGATATGTAGATTAAAAATTGACCGGAGATGGTTCCGTGGGAGAGGAACTGATAGGAAATTCTATGGAGTTTTTTTAGAAATTGATTGGCGATAAATTCAATATCAAGAGCGATTGACGAGGATTGAAAACGGTCGTCACCCCTTGTAAATTGATTCAATACTTTCGCCGAAGTGATCGTTTCCCCGAACTCCAATGTAATGATTTGTATATGATTTGTAAGTTGGTTCTTGACCTCGAAATAAAACTTTATTCACTCCCTTGTAAAGTGGGTGTTAAGAAAAATGAGTTATAGGGTGCAAAATCTTTGTTGTCCCATTCCCGTCTATGAAGAACTAAACGAGTAGACGGTTGAGAAATTCGTCTGCTAACGGCTTGTGATAAAATGTAATATTTAATGATCAGCAATAAACAGGTCCCGCAAAATAGTTTGTTATACGATATTTGGTGAGTTATTTAATTTCTGATTATAAGGCTCGTGAACAGGAAAATGTGTTATTTTGGATTGTCAAGGCTACGCTGGATGAGCCGCTGCCATCTTTCCCATTCATTTTTCAAGCCGTCGCGTAGGTCGGACGTTTAGTTTAAACAATTTACGAGATCCGGGTGCCAACAAAATCAACTCAATTATAGAAGAACGCCTCGCTTTTGGCTGGCGTCGAGTGTCGCAGGACGAATGCTGTCCGTCGCGCCGTTGTGGCACTTTCAAGATTTATTTGACAGCAACGCGAAAGGGAGATATTCGTGGAATAGCAGAACCCCTAGTAGTTTTGTACCTCTTACTAACGCTTCCTAGCGAAGAAACGAAAAATGAATTTCGGAGGATAACCAGTCCGATCCCGGTCTCCTCTTACGAGACATTCGAAAATATCATTTTAAAAATGATTTTCCCTTTATCACTTATAAGTACGTAAAACGATTTTTGGCATCTTCACTCTTCTGACGACATATATATCTAAACGAATGGTTTGTTCGGACCGATTCGTGGAAGCTCCAAGGTACGCAAAAGACACAAGGACATACTTCCACGAGTGCGCTAGGAAGAGGTGGAGCTTCCGTTTACATCATTCATGCTAATTAGATTCGGCGACTTTTATTTGCTCCTCGAAAGTAAGAAAGTCGCTTTGAATCCCAGAGAAAAAGCCGAACGGGGTTCGCCGTAGATGTCATTAGAGGAATGGTTTCAGGAGAATCTGGAAAGAGATCGGTGCCCCACTATAGGTGAACACGATCGGATAAATGTTAACGAACCGAGTGATTTCAGGTGCTCTGTCTGAGAAACATACCGAATATACGAGAAGCCGTAAGCGACAAATATAGTTGCTAACAGTTTTAACAATTTTATGCGTATGCACAGGTGCCCATAATTTAAGATGTTAATATCTAGGATCAATAAAGGGCTGATAACGTGTTTGGTAAAATTACTCTGTGTTTGGACCCTAGAAATAATACTCAAATGGTGTTAAATGCAGGAAATAAAAAAAAGAGTTAATTGTAAATATACGAAAAGCTATTTTTATGTGACTCAACTTTCCGTCGGACGTTATCACCGTAAACTGCTTCACCAAAATTTAAACGGACTCGTAGATTCCCAGATACCTTCGTCAGTAAAGCTAGCTAACCACGTAACAAATTTATCAACTGTCAGACCGCATCTACAAGAAGCATTGGACCTGGGCCCTAATAAATGCACTCTAGAACTTCTCAGCTGTTAGTCCGACAGAAGTCAATGAACCGAGTGTCCTCGAATTCGTTATCTGTGTTCGGAAGCAAAGGAGTGCATCCGTGACGCATTTTAGCATGAAACGTGAACGTCCTTACCAGGTCGCAACGATTCAACTGGTGTGAACGGGACCTACACTTTTCTCTCGACTTCCCGAGAGACGTTTATTTAACTCACCTGTCGGTGCCTAACAATGATTTCAAGTGCCGATGGGCTGATCTAATTAGAAATTTCTTGGCCAACCACGGCACTAATTTACTACCTCTTCTTTATTTCACCAAGCTCCAAAAAAATTGCATTGCACGATTCGACATAATTCATTGGGTACCTCCATACGTAGAGGTTCACGAGAAAATAGGATTATTATACTTCTACAATTTTCATTGAAATTGCCCTCGAAAACCGGATTTATATAATAAACCATTACATTGGTTTGGAACGATTCCTTGGATCCGTGCTCTGGCATACTTCACTGCAGTCCGACAGAAGTCGACGAACCGGACGTTCCCAAACATGCTATTTGCACTCTAAAATATAGCGACAAATATATATATATATACATATATGTGTATATATATGTATATAATGTGTATATATATATACACACACATAATTTGATATATCATTTTCTAGTAATAATTTAAGAGACAGTTTTAATTAAAAATAATTTTGAAAAGCTAGCTCCCGAAACAGCATATTTAAAATAAAAAAAGTATGACTGCCGATTTAGTAGGCAGCTTCCATTAAAAATGAGTTTCAAACGTTGGTTTATGATTTGAAACGGATCCTGAAAGTGTGTGCTCTGGCATCCGACAGAAGTCAATGAACCGGGCGTTCCCAAACATGCTATTTGCACTCTAAAATATAACGACAAAAAAATATAATTTTCTAGTAATAATTTGATGCACAATTTTAATTAAAAGTAATTTAAGAAAGCTAGTTTCCGAAGACGCGTATTTAAAATAAGAAAGTATGACTTTCGATTTAGTAGACAGCTTCCATTGAAAATGAATTTGAAAAGTTGGCTTGCGAAACAAACGAATGATTTCGAACGGATTTTTAAAAGCATTCTGGTATCCGACGGAAGTCGACGAACCGGACGTTCTCAAATGTGCTGTCTGCCTTCCGAAACTCAACGCATTTTGGATCTCGCACCCTCCCGATCCGTGCCGATAGAAGTTTAGCGTGAACCTGCTTAATGCTCTCCTTTCGACCCCTCGAGCGAAATGTATTTTTTTTTCGACCCGTTTGTAGGGAACACGCAAGGATGGCCGCGTATTAGGCAGCCCGCACACCGAAGCGAGGCGAAGCGCCCGTGCCCCGACGGAATCGCCTCGCTATTATTAGACGGCTGCACCCAACCTCGGGGCTCGGGATGAATGGAGCATGTTTTCTCTTTCCGAACATCGGGACGTTGCCCGCGCTTACCATTTATTTACCGATCCGAGCCGGCGACAGGTCATCCGCTAAACGTGAGATCATTGTTGTCCCAGGGTGCAACGTTAAATTGAATTTACGCACGCACAACTACGTTTTGTAAAGCGCGTACGTGGGGCGCGGTTATCTCGTAAGCGTATCAAGGACTACTCGGCGAGAAACAAAGGAACCCACCTTCAATAACAATACTTACAATTAGTATGTTCAAATTCAAAGAGTTGCTCGTGAACATTGACTATGAACATTGACGAGGTCATGAACGTTGATCGAAGTAAATTGGAGCAAAAACGTGCGGGCTAAGTTACGTACTCGAAATAACATTATCTGTAAGTTTTAAAAAGTGAATGTTTCCTGTGTCAGTATATTAGAAATGTAAATATGGTTATATCAGTGAGACTTCGGAGTAAGCGTTATTGCTGGTTAAAATAACATTGAAAATACGTGCAGATCACATAGTTAATTGCAAACGAATTTTGTTTACTGAATTCGTTCGCGCAATTTGTTAGCGAGATGGAATTGATTTGTTCTTTTACTATGCCCCAGTTCCTGTAGCATGAAACTTATGAGGAGTAAAATGAACAAAATGTATAATACCCAAAAAATGAAAATAACGTCTGATGAAATATTTAGTGACAACACCTTAAGAGCGCACATCTTTTTGATCGTTTTTGAACATATCTTCTGAACGCATCCCTAAATTTTCGCAAAGTTCGTGGTATATTAATAGACCGTTTGTGCTGTTAGAGAAGGTGGTGCGTATTAAGTACACATGCTCAGTTACCCAGAGGAAGGAAGACATAATAACGGCTAACGCAACATCGCCTCGATTAATATCATATGTATGTATTGGGACCGTAATTCAAAGAATTACTGAACACACATATGTACTTTCTTAGTCATATCTGTTGAAGAATTTAAAAGTTCTTCAAGGTAAACATTGTTTTCTCAAAAGTATAAGCAATTATTATCAGGAACAATATACATTAAATGAATATGTAATAACGAGTGGAAATATTAAAAGGATCAGAAGGAAACCGTTTTCATGAAATATTTACCGTATCTCGCAAACTCGTTTAATTACGTGTTTTTATTACATCTTTATTGGGAGTGCAATAATGGACTATTGTGAATCCGGTCTTAAACGAGCAGCGTCCGCTGCTCCAGCGAACATAGGATGAATGGAATGATTTCCTTTTTCTTTTGGAATATTAAGTCGGCGCCCACGCTTACCATTTATTCGACAATTCTGACGAGCAACTGATGGAGCTTTAGTCCGAGAATTCATGCAAATTTTAGAACAACCGCAAAACTTTATTTACTTAAAGTAAGGCACTTTAAAGTTAATGATGCCTTATAAATGAATTAGATGTTCATATTCATGGGAAAATAACATAATTCAAATAATTTGTAGAATTTTCTATTTTCTCTTTATACTTAATAAACAACAATGTACAAAATAATTATTACGGCGATGGATATAAGAGCGCGCAACTTAAATTCATTATACAATTTTCCTGTGTCTGTGTTATCCCTATGTCGGAGTTCCCCTTCTATGATATCACAATGAAAATAAAGAATGGTAATAAATTGATGTTTTCGCCGTATACGGTTATATGAAGTCTTATGTGGCACAGGTACGCGTAAAATATAGAATAGTACAAATAAATTATCACAAATGTATAAGGAAGAAGGCGCCGTCCATTAAACGATTGCTCTGTGGCTCCACGTATGTACAATGTTCTATAGTCGACAACTCATCAATATCTACACTATGTCAATTTAGTGAATACCATGATATTCAAAATAAACTTAAGATGTAGGGTGCCAAAGTAAAATTGCACCAATAAATTAAAGTAAGCCAATTACTGCTACTGTACAGAAGCGCTAAATCTGGAGTTTGTTCTGAGCGTGGTTCTTCAGATAGTGCATTAAATGTTCCATTTTGTTAAATAGAAACGTGAAACAACCTATCAGTTCGTTAAGGATATAACAGAAAATTTTAGCACGACTCGTCACATCTACCTTATGATACTGCAAAGTTTCAAAGCCTAACTAGAAATAGCAGAAAAACAAATAGTTCTACTATGATTAGCAGGTGTTATACCGAGGCCATAATGTTTACATTTACAGATTTCAACATCATCAAGAGGCATGTCTTTCTCGGTATTCCTTGACTATGTTAATTGTTATGCTTCTATAGCATTCAAATGCGTAGTCATGTTGCTTCTGCGTTTATATGAACTACTTAATCTTCAATGATCAAATTATTACCCATATTTTATTCATTTAATTAATCTAATTCTTTTGAACAATGATAGAACTTATTCATTAGAATCCATAAGAGATGCCATGATTCAGATCATTTCAGTTGCGTCTATTACGTTTTTACTTGTATGCTAGAGATAATTCTTCGTACATTTATTTAAAGTTACAAGTTTTTCGAGAGCATAACGCCTGTGTTATGATCTTATTTAAATTCAGTCAATTCTGTCATTAATTTTAATGTAAATGTGTGCAGATTTACTGAATGGAAAAAAATGGCGTATCGGCTATAGGGAAACTTACTTTACAAGTGGAAGAAGTATCTTTGCATCATTAAATTTAGTAACTAATTATTCGAACAATTAAACCTCATTCATAGTTACGTTTTATCGAAGAACGAACTGTGATGGTAAAGCAGTCTTAACAGGTTTGCGAGACAGTGGTCGCAATGATTCCTTACGTTTACATGCGAAGTTTTGTCCTTATTACAGGAACGTCAGATACTCTTTGCTTAAGCTTAATGAAACTATGTATGTAATACTTAATTAGAGGACCAATATTCGAATGACTGATGATATTGACATGTCTAGTAAATGATCGGAGGCGCGGTTCAATTAAAAATGAAAGAACTCAATGCGGTTTAACTAAATGATGTTTTCCTTTTCTTCTGGCCGGTTTTGTTCGCATTTTGTACCCTCTGAACTGAACTTTTTCCATTTGCAATACCTACAAAAAGACCAATTAATATCAGAGATCAAATTGATAAAGTAATTGTTTATAAGAACAGCAATATTTACGTTTTAAATGCGCCACTCTAGACCGCGTAAGAGGTTGAGCATTACTAGAGGTAGGAGTTGAAGATTCTGCTGGTACTTGTGACACCTTCTTCATTAACTGAGCAACTTCCTCCATCGCTGGAGTCATCCACTTTGCTTTTAATTCGTTGCTAAAATTATTATTTTGCTATAATATACTACTCTATTCATGTAAATTATTCCTCCAGCTATTTAGTATTCATTTCATTTTAAGATTGAATGAGGTGAAAGGCGTTTGTCACAATTTTTTTTGCAGGGACTTTTGTCATTGCAATGTTCGCTCAAACGGTATTCATAATGAATTTATGATATTGTTTATTAATTATATTATCCGGAAATATTATTCATCTCTCACTATATTACTTGGAAATTCCATGCGATTCCCTCAGTTCTGATTTCAAAACTCAAGAGAGTTCGTTTGACTTTCCTGAACTCTTCAGTGAGCCTACCACTACTATAATTATTTACTGTTTACTACTTACTCAGACGATTTAGATACTGGCTTATGTCTAAAACTGCTTGATTGTCTGTCTTTCATTTTTTGGAGTACTTGCAACATTGCGTAAGTTGGCACGGACGGTGGCGGTGGTGATGGTGGTGGAGTTAGAGGAGAGGATGGGGGAGTAAGGGAAGGAGGCGGTTGAGTACTAATTTTTGCAAGTTTATCAGGATGCCTTGCAAGTACTGCTTCCCAGCTGAAGAAGTCAGAACGTTTTTCCATTGCAGCCTGCATGTTTCTTGTTGTCCGAGTCTTAAAAAAAAATTAATGTTAATATATTACTATAGGAACATACAAACCTGCATGACAATGTTTACCTGTGAATTCATAGGTCTGCATGGTTTTCTTTCTCGTAAATATGGTCTTTTAAAAGATTTAAAACATAATATATTTTCATTAGTAGATTGGTCATCGAATATAGAAGTATACGGGTCAAAATTGGTATTGTGCTCAAATAGACTTCTCAGATAGGAATAATTTGGCCTTGTTTCAAATCCTAATCCAGCAATATATTTCATGTATTCAGTAATGTTAGCTATAAAAGAAACAAAATTATATATCTTCATTTTGTAGATGTACTACGCTTAATATCAATGTACTTACTAGGTGGTTTCTTTTTATGACGAAAACATTTATGCATAAAAATTGGTATATCAGAAAATAAAATTTCTTTCTGTGCATGAATGTCTTCTGGATTGGCACTTGCTGGAACTCCACCATCTTCTTTCTCCCAAGGTAACTTTCCACAAAGCCACTGAAGTATATTGTATCCTAATGTTTCCAGGTCCCCCCTTCGTGAATGAGCTATAATAAATTAAATCAATGAAGAAAATAACCTTTATCCGTTAGGCTAATTCTTTGTCCGAAGCCACCAACATTGGTAGTAACAAATGTAGTAATAACTACCGACACTTAAATTAAAATTTGTAATAATGGATTCATGAGTTCTTAAATTTACATACTTCCATGATGGGCATCCCTCGATGTAAATTCTAGTGTACCTTCATGAGCTCGTCGCTCATCATGGACAAATGGTTTATGAGAACCTGCTCTCGTTCGAAAACGATATGCTAAACCATAATCTACTAAGTATGCTTGTGGATTTTGTGTAATCGATCCATGTCCATTCGATGCTAATAAAATGTTGGATCCTTTTACATCTGCATGTGCATAGCCACGACTGTGAATATACTCCAATGCATCCAACTAAAAAGAAAGATTTTATGGAACTTCAACCTAATCACATGTTACCAATTACTATGTTATCTATATTTTTTATATTTTGCTTACCATTTGCACTGCTAAACTATGAACAAGCTTAGTAGGTAACTTTCTCCCATGTGAGAGAAATAGTTTCCCCACGTCAATACCATATCGCGGTATTACTAAAAATCTGTAGCGTTGTCCTTGATAATAATGGGATCCTGAACCATTATACGTTGGTATACCAATTCTTCGTCTCCCTTGTGATTTACACCAACTATTAACTGAAAAACAATTATAATTATATTACATTATGGTGACACTTCTTTTAAATTTTCTCACAATAAAACATTTGACTTACCCATTTCTTTACGGGCAGCTCGAATGTAGAAGTTCATTTCAACAAACAATGGCCCATTATTGTGTGGTTCGATTTTAATAACATACTTTGCATCGTCTCCGACTGGTTTAGATACATCATTTGATGCTGTGTAAACAAAACTGATCTTTAGGTTATGTATATTATAATTCTGTTGAAAAACTATATTAAATGTAATATTTATTTTGCAACAACCCATTTATTAGTAATGAACTTACCAAGGTAAATGTCTCCAAAACCCCCACAACCAATAGGTTCTCCTAATCTCCAATCGGAATTTGTAATATCCGTTAATATTTCCCCTGATGGTAATCGACTTGGTAATCGACAGCCCGATGCCGCTACTCTTTTTAAAGGGATTTCTTCTGGCCGACGAGGTGCCATTTTCACTCTTTAACCCTTCACGAACATAAAATTGAATCTAATTTACAATATTAATGATAAAAATACATTCTAAAAAGAATTTATACAGTTGGAATCACATTTCGAACTACTGAGTCGATATATTTAGGAATAACTCATATTACAACTGTTTTAATAGTTAACCCAGTTATTCCAAATTTAGAACATTTCTGATCCATGGTATAAATTAAAAAAACAGAAAATGGTCACTAAAGTTTAAATTTACTCGTGAACATAATTTTCAACAAAAATACCGACAAGTTACAACGCAAACATATTTTGGAAATAGTAATCACTTAGCAAAATCAAATAATCTGTACATACTACTCATTTAAGACAAAAATGTTTATGTCAATATGATTAAATTATTTTTAGGTTACTTAAAAACAGTAATGTTACATCACTTATCCCACCCATAATACAGTTGTTTATTATTTCAAGGACTTATTTAGCCTGTTTAACAATTAAAGAACTATTCCAAATATATTCAATTGTCAGTGGTATGAGTAATTAGACTAAATAGTTGTACATATATTAAGACAGATGAACTGAAAATGAAAACAGATTTATACCATAATTATATGATACAGTGCAAGTACGTAGTCGGCAAAATATACCTTTACGCAGGCATAACAGAATTTCACATGACCGATTGCAACTACTATCCACAATTTAACAACTGAAACAATTCATAATTCGCAGTCGTAATCTACAGAAACAAATTTTCAGAGACTTTTCTCGACCCGTACTGCCATTTTCCGAAGCGAAAATGGAGTGCCGATCAGTTGGACATGCGTTCGGAAACTCACACGTCCGTGACAGTTGACGGGCACGTTAAAATGGTAAACATGTTAAATCAATTGTAAGGAAGTTAACAATAAAATCAGTTGTTTAAATTTATTCGTTCTACTTTGTTTTAACACTGCCTGTTCTCCCAAATTGTGATTAGTCGTAAAACAGAAATTCAATTGTCCATTTCTTTCGACATAGTTCGAAAATTATCTTAGATCAAGCTTGGAATCAACCAATCAGTGACGAGTATGTCAAAGATGAGATATATATATATAGTTTGAATCGAAGAAAACTGCAGACCCTAAATTCCTGTAATTTAAATTTTCTGACCAATTAACGCAAAGAAATGCATAGACAACTACGTTTTCTGTTCGACGATTTTGTTTCGTAATAATCTGCGGTGAGGAAACAAAAACGAACTTACTTACTTCACTAGCGCAGCCATGTCAACTCAAACGAACAGACCCATTATGTTCCTAAACTGCACCAATCCTCTTCATTTTTACTCTAGTGAAAGTTAGGTTATGTGATTGTTTGTGAAACTTGAAGTACAGATACATTATTTTAATTCAAATCTGGTAGTGAATAATGATGAACCCATGTAAGATTACGACAAACAATATTACAATGTATCTATCAGAACACTAAAAAGCGTTACAATTTTTGTACTTAATTTTCATACATATTTTTGATTATATCATGCCTAATCATTCTTGTGGGTTGCTTATTAATGGTCACCATACTGACATTGTATTGAATGTTTATAGGTATATTATTCATACTTTTTGTACACTTTGTATTTAATGTTTCATCGGGAAATTATTAACTGTAATTGTTTTCAGTAATCGTATCTTCCTGATTGTAAGCCAATTTAAAAAGTTTGGGTCTTTTATTACGGTTAATCGACAAGCTAGTGTCCCTCAGTTTAATACTGACATTTATACAATTAAGTGAGTACTTTGGGCATGACAATAAAATTGACTGTTTTTATGTAACATGTAATGTCATAGGTCTTTACTTGGAAAAGATGACGTCGATGAACATGTAGCTGCAAGATATATTGCAGAACATATTGAAATTGATAGACCTCTGCTACTTTCTATATGTTTGAAAAATTATGACATAGAAGTATTACAAAGTATTGTAAAGGTTCTAAATAAGTTCAAAACTTGGTAAATGGAAACAGAATAATGAGTATAATATTCGGTCAACTAGTTATTGGTCCTCCTGGGAGTGGGAAGACCACATATTGTAATGCAATGTACAAATTCTTAGAAAAAGTTGGTAGAAAAGTGGCTGTCATAAATATAGGTAAGCATCACTCATTTTCTTTCAGTGAATTTTTTAAATTATTTTTATAAGTACAAAGAAAATTATTCAACATAAACTTGAATTAGGATATCATTTGCATTTATTAATTTCAATTTAAAATGACTTTAGCATTATGTTAATATTGTAGATCCAGCAAATGAGAATATGGGATATAAACCAACCGTGGATATTTCTCACTTAATTAAACATGATGAAGTCATGACAGAATATGGACTTGGGCCTAATGGAGCTCTTGTGTATTGTATGGAATTTCTGGAAAAAAACATTGACTGGCTAATTGCAAAAATTCTTAACTTAAAGGATTATTATTTAATATTTGATTGTCCTGGCCAAGTAGGTTTTTTTAGTACTGTTTTAGATCATTGCTTTAGCATTAAATAATTGTTGAATCATATAAATTGATTTATTTTTTAAATATAGGTTGAGTTATACACTCATCATAAATCACTTGCTACTATATCAGAGAAACTAGGACAGAACTTGGTGAGATTATGTTGTGTACATTTAATAGACTCACACCACTGCAGTGATCCTGGTAAGGACAAAAAACATTTTTTAGGAATTCGAATTAAGCATTATTTACCATAAATTACTACTTTTCAATAATATATTTACAGGAAAGTATCTATCATCTTTAATTGTCTGTACAAGTACAATGCTTCATATGGCCTTGCCACATGTAAATGTAATGACAAAAGTAGACGAAATGAAAAAATTCAGTGATAAGCTGGCCTTTAATATAAACTTTTATATGGAAGTTCTTGACCTGAATTATCTTCTAGAAAAATTGGATGAAGATCCTTTTACATCAAAGTAAATATCAATATAAATCACTTAAAAAAGATCATAGTTTTCCAATTAATTGCACATAGTATAAATTCTTAATGTGTTCATGCAACAATAATTGATGGAATGTTTTTACAGATACAAGAAATTAAATGCTGCATTGGTTTCATTAATTGAAGATTACAGTTTGGTGACCTTCCTACCATTAGACGTCTCTAATGATGCACTGTTACTTCAAGTAAAAAATGCTGTTGATAAGGCAAATGGTTACATATTTGGAGGAAATGAACCACGAGATGTTCAGTCTTTGCTTGCTTGTGCAGTTGGAGCAATCAGTGAATCTGAGAAAATGTCCAGTATCGATAGTTACATGGACTAATAATATAACCATGATTTCTTTCATGTTTATTTAGATCTAAAAACAAAGTGGATAGAATAAAAATATTTGTACAGCTTCCAACAATGTGTTTAATAATACTATCATGCCAGGTTGACAAAGATCTGAGCTGCATCATCGTACTCATATGTTCTCCTTAAAAAGGTATCGATCAACTTTAATCCAGATATAGTCTGTAAATGAATTGAAGATGTAAATACATTGAAATATAGAAAGATTTCTCCCATCGATTTTAGTTTAACAATGTTTCATTTGTTAATTACTTACAATTAGTCCGGTATCTAGGGGAACCACGCACAATGGAACATCAGTAGATTTTCCAGGCTTCAAGGTCCCTAATATTTTTTCAGATACTCCACACCATGCTATTAAATTACTAGATTCTAGACTCAGTATTATGTCCATGTTCCTTTCCCTATAACATGTTTCATAACATCAATGATACTTCATTACTGACAAATAAAGTTTAGAAAATAACTGTACTTACGACATGTTTACTATATGACACTGGAAGTTAACTGGTTTTTCTAATGCTACTTCAGAAGGAATCGATTTCATTGTAACTCGTAGATCTCCATGATCAGGAGCCTAGAGAAAGGAAATTACACAAAATATATTGATTCATTAACAAATTCTATTAAACTATAAAACTGTACAAATATGAAACAATTTACCAATCTTTGCAATTGGCTAGTTTGAAGTCGTCCTCTTTCGCCCATATTACTTCGCCACACGATATCAATTTTACCAATATTAGTAACATTATATATCATTTTGGGGCATTCAGTTACATTTGGTTGAGGCTTTAAACAATAAAGATATTGTCGACTACAACCTGAATCTAAAAGATTTATTGGGCCATAAATAGATTCCCCCTTTTCATTCGTATTGAGAGTCATTACTGAAAATTGTTTTGGAATATTAACTCACGCAATGGCAATATGACGCTTATATGCATTGTGTAATTTTAAATAAAAATTTTTACCACTAAATAAAGGAGATGATTCCACATCAACTTTTTCTAAGCATATTGGTCCAGCTGTAAGATTTTCAATTTCAGCCTCAAGATATATCTCATCCGACTGTAAAAGAATAACACATTTAACGCCATAAATCACGTGTAAATAATCATAATTTTTCTAAGTATTGACATTCATATCACTAACATGCATATTGCGGTCTCAACCCTCTCTCATGATATCAAATGTACCAAAATTACCCAAAAAAGTACATTTGCTTTGTTTTACTTATATAGAACATAAATACTTACATTTATTATTTAATTACTCTGTTAGAGCTATACCTGCCATCATTTCAATCTTACCTCTGCATTATAAAATTTAGTTTTAACATCTAGGGGTTTCAAAACTTGAAATTTGAAAAATTTCTTAAAAGATTGCGTTGGTGCTATAGGATTTGTTGGTGTATATGATACTTCGCATATTAATCTAAAAAATAGAGTTACATTTAAACTAGTCAATTCTGGGAAATAAAGGAACAATTTAAATTTGACATACATATGGGTTCCAGTCTCCTTAACTTCATGATAAATGACTTCATCTATGGTACTATCGGGTTCCAACTCTTTGCTTTTCTCACTATGTCCAGATAGAGGAATCTTCTGAGTACTTGTTTGCAAGTCTGTCTGTAATCATTAGCGACTATCACAACTTCAAATTCCTTAAGACAAAGAATTTTTCTCTTCCAAAAAATAGGTTTACCTTTATAACTACATCTTGAACAACTTGGTTACTGCCATTATGTACACACAAGTAACTAGAAAATATCTCCCCAAGATAAATATTCCTGAAATAATGAAACAAGGTAATGCTTTATATCTAATTTTACAGAATTAAAAGAAACATAAATATTATGACAACTACATTGATTACAGCAAACTGGTAAGGTAATATATTACATAAAATAGCTATATTATGTATGTCGTACCCAAAACTTTGTGGCAACACCATAAAATATCCTAAAGCAAGAGTCTCCATTCCAGGTAAAGCGGTGCAATCAATTTTCAAATCATCATTCAACGTATTGCCAGGTAAATCCGTTGGTTCACATGTAACCACAGTAGGACTAGCAAGAGTTGGACGAGTTAATCTCATAACTAAAAAGAAACAATATAACTTACATATATGTTATACTTCCATAGCAAGTGAAAGAAATGTATTCAATCAATGAGCATAAAGTTATTTAGAAAGGGACAATATTTGAAGCTATAACATACCTTTTAAGGATAATAAATGTTCACTTTTCTGTTTTGCTTCCATTTTTAGAAATTCGACTATTTTACTAATGACTAACAATTATCTGTTAATACTTAAACATAATTCAAAGCACAAAAGTCGTACTTAACACCAACAAAATTTCCCGTGATCAGCTGCAATCATGCAATCAGCTGTGATCAGCTGTCAAAATTAAAGGATGCCACTTGTACCAACTGCTACTCCTTGACAAGGTTAGGTAACTAATATACCCTAGGTAATTTTCAACGTTTTTTTTACAGTAAATTACTAGGTATTTTACGTTACGAGTTTTATACGCGACTACATCAGTACTTACAGAGATGGCTCATCTCTGGTACTTACTAGAGATGAGCGGATCCGCTCATCTCTGTATTAAATAAAAATAATTCATTTCCTTCATATTTTTTTTATAGAAAAGAGAAAATTAAAGTGATAAAAAATGACTGGTCAGCAACAATCCTGCTTATTAGCTCCTCTCTGTTAGTATTAATATGTAATATACGTAAAAAAAACCTTAAAAAACGCGGAATTCTTCACACCTGGCTTTGCATATCAAAGCTACGTGAGCGCCTTTCTGCTGCGGACGTTTGAGGTACTCAAAATATTATTTTAGTCATCCTAGATAGTCTACGTTACCTACTGTTGATTCACTTCATCATGCTCAAATTTTGTACTTTCCTATTTATGGCACACTATCCGTAGGTAATGGAAAAATTAATTTTGCTATATATTTTGAATACTGCCTAGTCAATATCAAAATGACATACATTAGTCCCTCCTTAGCATTCTTTAAATATTTCTGACTTTTCATACAGCCTGATCTTATTTTTCCTACTTACGATGTTTTAAAAAAACTTTCTTTTCCAAGATCTGATGCCTAAATATCATCTTAAAAATGCAAATGCAATGAGATGTGGCAGTCAACCGAATTAATTCATATTCATCTGCGGGGATATAATTAAATGAATGAAATGTCATAAAAGTACAATTTTCATTGAAATTCACATACCTGACTAGTAAGATTACACATCTGGCATATACTTATTTACATTGGAGAAATTAATGCATCATTCTTATTTATCAGTTACATAGGAGTCAATTCTAGTTGTGATAAATCGAGGTTTCAGGTGCAAGGAATAAAGTCATTTCAAATTGATTTAATGCCTTACGCTTTCTTCCGATTTTAGTTTCATAAAATATCCTCACACGCATTTCCTTGGACAATGCTGGCATGGCGGAAATGAACGCGTCATTGCTGTATAACTACTGTATTTCAACCACTTCCTAAGCAAGCCATGGTTGAGCCATGAATGAATCGTCTGTGCACTATAGGGGATCAGAGACCGCTTCTACTCGACTGTGGAATGCAGTTAAGGGCTAACCAAACGAGTTTCAAGCACGTCACACCGGTTCAGCGAGTTGCGTTTCTCTCTTGCAAAAAAAACTACGGAATGCCAAGGCTCCTTAAAGGCACGAAATAAGGTACGATGGACGAAGTACCTAACCAAGACAAGATCTATAATAGATAGGAGTACTTAAGCAGTTCGTTTAGGATACTTACATTATCATTCGATTTTAAATATTTTCACTCGGCGGTAATATCGTGATTAAAATGTATTAATCAATATGAGGCTATGTAGCAATACCGTCAATAAATCGACTTTTTCATACATGGAACACCAGTATAATTATTTAAACGGTCATTTTGAAATCGCGAAAAACTCGTTTTTCCATTCCATATAAAAATACAATTTTCGAAACCCTCCGATCAGGACCTGATTAATATTCGTTCTTTTTAGAATATTGTCTTTAATTCCATTATGCACGTTTCTCAAAAACGTGTTCGTCTTATTTCGTATGTCTTAACTGATTATCCCAATTACTAGTGAACTTTTGCAAACTTATGCTGAAAAAAGACCCAGCGATCTTCATTACTCTAACCTTTTTATTATACATACCATTAATCACAAGAATTATACACAATTAGATGATCTCCGATTTGTACAGAATGTCGCCGTAACAATTCTTTATACTGTCAACTTTCTAAATATCATAGAACTATGCTCCACCTTCGATAACGGAAGTATTCTTGTAGAATTATGCTGTAATTCGGTTCATTTGCCAAATTTTTTGCTTACTCTTTTGAATTTGTTTGTATCGAAATTCGATATTCAGACTCTGCCAGAATCTCGGTATTCGAACTTATTTGGAAGTTATTGACAGTTGTGTAATTTCTGTACTAAGGTATTACTCCACCAGCTTACTCTTTCTGTTAAAATAAAGGCGTAAAAGTTCTGCCACTGCAATATTTCTGAAATGCTCAGTCTGTTCCCAATGCGACTCGGTTGATGTTTACAATTAAACTCTGCATCGCTTATAAGATATTTGTCTTCGCAAATGTACACATATATTTATATTCCACCAATTTCGTGAAACATTTGGCCCAGACAAATTATCACATTTTGTTAAAGTATTTTGCGAACCACGTTTCACTGGCTTCAGTGTTTTGAATTTGATGACTTTATCAAAAGAAATTATTCGTTTCAAAACCGAGTCAACGAAAAATGGTACTTCGAAATTTGATGGCAAGCTTACAAAGAAGAAAGTTAACCCTTCACTGGTGACATACGCTAAGCAATTTTACAAGTTACATTTATTCTTGCTGGTTGCACAAAACCATTTCGGATTTCTTTTGGCTTATTGAGCACACAAAAAATAATTAATGAGCAAAATATTTTTTGTTTACGACAAAAAAATGTTACAAACGATACACGTAGATGGTAGTTTAACTATTTTTTCTATACTCGACCGAAAAAGATCCGAAAATATATATTTTACATTTCGACAGGCTTGTACAGTAAAGGGTCAATGTTGATCCTTATTGCAGGCCATCGGAGCGACAGTAACGCAGCAATTAGTAATAGTTTCGTAGCGCGAAATGTACGCAACGTTATTTTTTAAAAATATGTATATACCTTTCTAGCTCTAGACTTATCGATAACAATTAATAATGACGTCGGCCCTTAGGGGATGATGATGGGATTAATGCTAAACGCGTTAACATTCGATTTTAGTAAGGTGCATTCGTTTTTTATACAGAGAGGTTGCAGTTAGGCAACGGAATTGTATTATTTGCGTAATTATCATATGTTCTGTAAGTATTCACAATAATTCACCAGACAGACTAACGAATCGTTTTAATACTGTTTGGATTAGGAGAGCCAGATATTAATGCAGCAAACCTATGAAAAAGAAATTTTCTTTTAGAATTACTTATAAAAGACAGTCAAAAGGGACTCTTTAAATATGTTAAAAATACAATTCGATCAGCGTATTTCCAATGCATCAGCTTATTCCTTTTGATGTTCAATTCGGTGCAACATCAAAGCCGTAACAAATTTTCCACATGCCGAGGCACATCGCTGTTTCTCGTTTAAGAGAAGGAATGCAGTTTCATTCTGCAATTATGAGCCAACAATTGGGATAGAACATATGCTACTGCATGGGATTTCGGGGCAACTGAAATTAAAATCTTGCAATTTGTTTATTCTAGGTGTCTAAAGTTTATCTCCTTACTACCCGAGGCGTATGTGATAAACGCATCTTCACCGAATAGCTATATCTTCCTCGCTACCAGTCGTTACGGCGTGAAGTACGAAGTACTAGAAGAGAAATGCTCGCAGTATCATAGTAAGCGCCCCATAGCGCGTTCTCGGGCTAAGCGATTGTACATCACGAAATATGAAATACTATGAGAAGAAAGCCCGGACCGTCATGCTGACGGGTTCTCTGCACACGGCACAAGTCGTCATACCGGGTGCACACTTTACGCAAGCAACCATATGTCCACAAGGTAAAAACACTACGCCCAACTCTTCGTTGTAGCAGATCTTGCATATCCTCGCGTCATCGATAGGCTTACTATTAGTCGGCTTTACATTGGATAAGTCTTCTAGACTGCTATTTTTCGAGGACCCTAAATTCTCGATACCACTGTCTTGAGATCCGATACCGCTATCTTGGGATCTGCTCAACACCGTGCTTGGCCCAGGATTGCTCTCGACATTGGGTTTCGTTTCCGTCTCTACAGCTGCAGAATGCTCGACCTTCTTAATATAACTAGGTAGATTCATCTGCATGGCTTCCTAGAAACGAATGTACCATTTAAGAAAAATCCTGTAATTGATATTAGCGAGTTGACTTCCATAGAATGTTCCCTTACTTCTTTTGAAGGAGGCGATACGCGCTGGCCCGTTACCCCACTAACGAACTCCTGACCTTTTACCAAAAGAAGGTAATAACATTTTGAGAACCATTTGGCATGTTGTTCCCATGGATCATCCTCGGGTTCCCAGTCTTTTAAACCACCACCACAATGATAGCACAATGTCTGATCACCCTTCCCCGTGTAAAAGAAACCGGCATCTGCCAATTGTTCTTTGGTCTGTGGCATCGATTTTGGCCAAGATTCGAACGTTCGTAATCTTGCGTCATAACTTGCATACTCCGGATGACACGGGCCTTTAGGTCGACCAAGCCCTAAGCATCCTAGTTTTGCATTGCTTGGTAGTTGTAGGTCTTTTGTGAACGAATGGTTGTCCGGTCCCGAAGTAGGTCGATATTCCACTCCATATGGTCCACATACATCTCGACTTCGGGGCAGCGGCGGAGGTACCGTTTGAGGATCCACCCCAATCGGTACGTTGCCACAAGGCTGTTTACGTATAAACCTACATCTGCCTGACCATCGCTGATGATCTACCATCGGATTGTCACCTTCTATCCATTGACATATTTCCACCTGACATTCAAAACATCTAACTTTGTCTCCTTCTCCGGTATAGTAAAAACCAGCTGCTGCAAGTTTTGCAGGGTCCATGAATGGTATGGGCCAGTTTCTGAAACTCTCTAACCTTGCATCTTCGAAACGATAGTCGATATTGTCTACTTCATCGACATGTGTGAGTAACGGTAATGTTGGCGGTGGAATATGTGGATGATCGGCTGATTTGAATGGTGATAAACTATCTCTTAGGTCTCGATGTTCAACAATTCCTGTCATCTTGTTGCGATTTTTTTGTTTTAGCTTTCTGACTTTACTCGGCCAGTGTAACCCAAATCCTGTAAATAAATAAATAGATATTACTACATACGATACGACACGCTGCTTAAGAGCATATTTTATATGATTACATATACAATTCCAAAAATAAAAAAGGGGCAACCGATTACAATTATTAAAAATGATTTGAAAAATGCATAAATTACAGATCGACAACCAGAGTTCAGCAAGCATTTCTTTAAGTGACCATTCATTGCTGGCTGTTTGCCCAAATATTAATACAATTATTTGAACGGTGTTCTGAATTATCGAACCATAAATATTTAAACAACCACACAAAGCACAGCCAAAATAAAATACTCAGCAACTAGTGGCACAATAGTAAATTCACCGTGGAAATTCACAAGGGTAAGAAATATCTTTTAAATTTTCAGGGTAAGCGACACGACAAAGGTCGTCAACCTTTTCGTCTATAAGTGCGTGTACATCATATGGAAGTATTAAGCGCAGAAATATTATTTCAAGACTATCGCTGAGAGGATGACTTAGCAACAAAAGGTTTACACAACTCGCGATAATATAACCTCAACGCGACCAAAACGTAACGAATCGAAAGCGCAAAGCCCAGGCCAAGCCCTTGTGCGCACTGTCCGTTACACGATACAAAGGAACAAGGGACCAGGGGGAAAATGAGGAACAAGGACTAAAATTCAACGAAAGAATCTAACAACATAAGTACAAGGTTGGTACGAGGAATAAAATGTTAAATAAAAAAAATCCTATCTTAACGTATAACTTTAACTTCTAATGTCTAATCAATAGGACGCAATCACATGACATCCAACGTACTGTTGACAATTTCAAAACGACTTTAACAATCTAGTAACCGTTCAAAAACGGTCACAATTATACCGCTCGAAATAAAACAGAATTTAATAACATCTAACCAAATTGAAGTCTTTCCCGAAAGTGTGAATATTTTTGACCTAAGATAGTACACACGATATTCAGATCGGAAATTACATCAGAGACACATTGCTACAGAAAAATTAAGGTAACATGACAATTCAGAGAAAATAAGTAAATAAGTTTTTTTCTTTCTTCATGTTTATTAAATTAAAACACGGGACATGGTCATGAAATTAATGTCCCACCCTGTACATATGAAACGAAGAAGGTTGGTTATAACCGGATAATGTTTTGGGTTGCTGTAGCCCCACTCTACGTTCCCTCCTACATTATTTTCTACATCACACTGTATATATATACACCCCGTTCCCAATAACTTGGGAAGCGATATAAACAAACGTTTTTGGATGACTCAAACGAGTTGGTCAGAAGCACGAGGTGGGAGAGGTTCGCTTCCTTTTTGGTTCACCATTCAGCGCATAAAGAAATCCTTCTTGCTTTCTTTCAGTTAACCTTTTGCAGCGTTTTCAAAACCCCATTGTTAAAATTGAGTATGACGATTTCCCACAACAACTTGCGTCAAAAAGAGCAAATATAGGCCAAAAGTGCATTGCAATTGACACATCGTTGCCGTGTGTCAAAGGTAGCACCGGAATGATTTTTTTTTTCTTCCGACAAAACTTTCCTACCCAAAGTACCAACCTTGAGTACTGGAATAAGAGAGAAAGGGAGCCGACGAGGAAAAGAGAGAGGAACTCGAAGCACGTATGAACCACCAGGCAGGCTCACTCCGGACATCGAGCAGTGATTTGCAACCGAGGTATCTATCGACAATGACGATCCACTTTTTACAACGTCGCACGAATGCCACGCGTGCTGCTAATGAAAGAAAAGCCTCGAGTGATGCCGTGGAAGTGGCTGGCCCGACAAGAATTGTATTTCAACGCGCGATTGCGTACCAACACGGATACCGAAGCTACGACGTCGCGACCTTGTATCATCCGGCAAAAGAAAAACAAAGTTCATAGAGCACTCTCGTGGGACGAATTTATCTCTAGAACCGTGATTGCAGTCACCGCCGTTTAATCACCCCATAAAGAGAACAAAAAATCCCCGCATACAACCTTTGAACATTCAAGGAACGAAGAGATCATATCGCACGTTTCCTTAATTCGCGTTTAATCCATGAAAGATTCAAAGTAATACAGCTTTTACTCCAATTTAGAATCCGATCGCCTCTTGCACTTGGTCGTCTTTACGTAAACAAGGCGAAAAGTTCCTTGGACGCGAACCACGCTTACACCAGACGGGTCCTATTACAAAATCAATAACGCCGCCCAAAATGACGCGGAGTCTCGCCGGCTAGTACGGCACGCATCCGCGGTCGGATTCAAGGAATGGCATTTTTCCAGACGAGTCGGGCCCGCCGTGCGCGTTCCAGAGGCGACCGCGACGAGCACGGGAGACACAACGGACACAACGGGCGCACCACGCATGAGGGGCCCACCCAGGGAGAGCGGACTTACGAGAAGTGCTGCACTTGCACTTGGAATTTGACTGGGTCCGGCATACGATCAGCGGTACACGTTTTGACATAGCAGAGGAAACTCTGGCTGGCGGTAGCTCGCGCGCTCGATTCGCTCGAGCCTTTTCCAGAATCGTTCCCCCGATCGGTCCGCGAGCAGAGCCGACTCCGGACGTGCCGTACGGCACGCCAACTGCACACAGCGACGCGAAGCCGCGCGCACACGAAAGCGCGAGCCCGCGCACGGGACGGCGCAAGGCTGCACACACAACAACGCGCGACCCACACACTACGCCGCGCCGCGGTCACATCGATGCGCGGAGAAACGATGGCGCACAGCTGTACACAGCGTGGCACTCAGGGCCGCAGCGCCAATACTGCCAGTTTCCTCTTTACTGCTCGATTGTATACATTCCCCCCCACCGCTCCGACGCGCTGCACGCGCTGAGGCGGTGACCAATATATGAATGGCTATTCCAAGAATATTGCATGCCGAAGTGTACACAAATTTCGATTTCTTTTCCTCGTTATCGTAATAAACTAGAAACGAGTTAACAAGAGGATTTGTCACCAATGGGTAGATTTCAGGGTATATCGTTTCTTGGAATTGTTTACCGATTTTTTGGATAAGTTGGAATTAGATACTTCGTTATGAATGTGATATCTTTCAGTAAATGGAAACGTCTTTGGTATAATGATATCGCTTGACATCGATCGTCGAGATTTTGTAAAAATTTTGAGCTAATTCTAGGCCGTGTAAAATAACATTTTTATATGTTCTCGAAGCAGGCTTAATCTTCGTTATTTCCCCACTATTTTGTACCACCCTGGTACACGTGTACGACGGTGACTGGGGAGTTATTCTCGTCTTCTTATAGACCACTCGGTGAGTCTTAGAAAGAACCAGAATAACCATCCTTAACGCGAATGGTCAGTCGCGAAAAGGGTTGGAAGCGCTATATCGTTTCTTAATTTTCCATTGAGCGCTAATAGATCTGTGATAAAATACGTTACCGAATTACCACTATTCCTTTCACGAATATCGCGACCGTGAATCAATGAACGCGTTTCTCTCGTTTCACGTTTAATCCCTAAAATTTAATCCAAAACCCATTTATTGCGCATTCGGATTTTATTCTTCGTATTTCTTAATTTTCCTGCGGTTTCAGAAATTTCCACGCATCTAGCTCCTTTTTCCCATTGGAATTAATTCGTGGGGTAGCTGCGGCCCTGCACTCAGCTGCGCACACTACAGAGCGCGGCGCACACAGCGAAACAGCTGTGACGCCGCGCACCGTGGACGCGCAGCCGGCGTTAGCAACGTGCGCGCGCACTCGCGGCGCTACTCCGTTCCTTCGGCGCGACGTTGCCACGTCGCGACCTCCATTCCGCGCTCTCTCGCCGTTCGTGTCGCTCCGTGCCGCTCCGCGCGGCCCGCGCGACGCAGCCGAGCCCGTGGGAATGAACGCGCCTCGGCTCGGCCAGCGCGGAGCGAATTCCATTCCTTCCCTTTCCGGAATGCGCACTTTTATGACCTCGTGAATCGTTAAGAAACGCCACCGAACGATCCCTCAAGGCGGTCCTTATTACGAGCTCTAGAATGATACGCGCGCGGTACTTTTTAAAAGGCCACTGCGCTTGCCGCGCAGGACTAGATAAAAGTAGTTCGGATGAAATTTGTTTGATGAAGCCATTTGCGAGATCCAGGCTAGGTTACGTAAGGTCGGTAGGCTGGTAAGCTGGACGACGTAAGGTCGTATTCAATTATACGTCGGCCCGATACGCAGAATGAACTTTTTAACCCGGAAAAATGATTGACATGTTGCATAGCAACCGACCGCACGGAATCGTTTGAAAATCAATCCCTATAAATATTTTTTTCTCGACGCCTCGGGCGTAGAATATATTTAGACATCCGAGAATCTCTGGGTGCGGCTATGGTATTTTGTTTATATACAATCAGAGTATCGGTGATTCGGTTACAAGTGTTGGATTTCTCGTTTTGAATGTTACACTTATACTTCCTCTTTTATAACGCTTTCACGAACATTGCTTATCCGTCTGGAGTTTCCGCCAGATGGAAAACAAAAGTCCGCTGATAGAGGTTTTAGGTCGCCTGGACACCGCCCAAAGTCAAAGATAAGCAAAGACAATGTTTGGTGCGCGACTTTTAGGGTGGAGCCGGTACGTGACTGTTTTGTCGTATTTTAATGTGGTTTTAATCGTTGACGTGACTCATCACTTCCGCTCGGCGCCCATTAATGCAGGGTTCTAGTTCTTTATGAAATCATCCCATATGAATGAAGCCTGATTAAACTTCTTGGAATAGTCCCCTGAAAAAATATTATCATGGGTACAGGGTACAGTACAGTCAAAAGGTTGTTGGACCTTAACCTCCCTCGTGCCTTGGCTTTGAAATAAAAAGAATAGTGATTCAATTATTAATAGAAGTATCTTTTTCCTGGTTGCTGAATAGTTTTCCCCTGGCAATAGAAGAATATATTATTATACCGTACCGAAAGTCAATTACTAAATACGAAGTAATAACCCGCTGCGGAACTAAACCTTCACTTATAAACTCGCTATCAATTAAGACCTGTTTACGGGCAACAGCTGACATTTTGATTCGAATTTAAATCGGCGAATTAGATTTAAAGTGCCGATACGTTTGACGAGGCGATTAGCCTATCAGCGAAAGGCTTCGGCCAGCGATATTAAAACAGCACCGTCGAGTACAGGTAGTCCGACTTCCAATTATCAAATGTCAATGTCGAACGATTGACTCCACAAAGAGCCGTTGAGTTTTTCCCCTCGCTTTGTCGAGGGGAAAACTCAACGGTTAACGTTAGTAATTCCCGCAATTTCCAAGGAAAGAGACTTTGCCAATCTTTTCCTGAACTTTCACATCTGTTTCTTTTGCCCCGAGAGAGCCCGATCCGGCAACAGCGCGCGGCCGAAGCGCGAGCGAGAGGGCGAGAGGCAGGCGCGCCACGGCAGAAATGCGGGAGCGAGCGAGACGGCGAGAAATGAATGTCCGTACAAAGCCCGTTCTTTGTACGGGAGGTGGGGCAGGAAGCTACCCGGGTGGCGGTCCCCGATGATTTCAGCCTGTTTATTCTATGACACGCTCTCGTAAACAAAAATCGAGATCGCAGAAAGGACCGCCGCGATACAGCATATATATGTATAGGTTACATATCGGCAAGAGATAAGTCGGCGCTTAGCGCGGCTCGATATGGCCTGGCTGTTATTCCCGGGGCGAGAGAGAAAGAGAGATCGGATAAACTGGCGGGTATTGATCGGCGGATAAAGAAAAGCCGGACGATAACGCCTCGATAAGATCCGCGATACTCAGCGGCCAGGTTTCGCGAGAACCTTCTCGTGTCCCGTTAAACGCTTCCAAGCGGCGATTCTTCGTTCCGGCGCGGCATGCCAACGGAATGACACCGAGTTCCACGTAGCGCGCCCAGCCCGCACCCAGGTCCGCTCGATTTTCTCCGTTAATTCTCCGCCCTTAACCTTTCCAGACGCGGAGTCGACCTATCGGGACTGGATTGTGCTCGGGTCAAGGATTTCTGCGCAGTTGGGCGTACCTGGAGGGTCCTTTATCGACGGTCCGTTAAGCGGCGCAGAATGCCAGGGAGACTCAGCGACGCGCCATATGCACCGACTCGAGTTGCTCGGCGATCGCTCCTTAACAAATCGACGACCGAACCGATTCTCTATTGTAATTCCGTTATGTATCAGAAGAGTTACCGACGAGCGCCGCGTTTCCGAACATATCACCGCGATACGGGGCTGCGAGTGAAATAGCCACACGGCCAGCAATGGCGCTCGTCCCCCCTCGAGCGGAGCGTGGTAACTGCTCGAGAAGGCCACGGAAAAGGCCGCGAGCCAGCCTGGCCAAGTGCGCCTATCGTGCTCAAGGGGATTCCGGCCTTATGCGCCCCGTCGGCTCGTCGGGGTTCTCGCTTTTCGGGTTTTGGCCCTACCGAGACCCTCGGCCACGTTCATCTCGCCGTGGTCGTGGGTCCGACTCTTCTCTGCGCGATTAATGCGACCGCCAGGGATCTATGTACCGGATCCTCGCCTTCCGGGCGTTGGGTTTCGCCCCCGTTGCTGCAAACATTTAGACTCGCATTTAATCATGGGCTCCAGTTAACGCTTCAAGGACTAATCTCGAGATTTCTCGTTACTCGTTTTAGAGTTAAGCCGCGGAAAATGGTCCGCGATCGTTTGGACGTCTTAATGTTTAACGAAGGGAGAGTGTTGATGCGTTTTCAGCGCAAATGAGTAGCATTTGATACGACATTTCTGATCCGGATTTTCGTTTCACAACAGCGACTCGATGTACGGTAAAACGCTTTGACGATATCATTTGTCGGAGGATCGCCATTTCCTAGAATTAACGTTCATTGGCGATCCGGTGGAATTTTTTATGACGCGTGGGATGCAGATATATGCGTATGCCAATGTTTCTTTTTGCAAGGAACGTTAAGGATGCGTCATCCTCCGATTATGCCATTCTTTAATATGTACTAGATGATGCACTTCTTAAGTAAAGGACCTTAATTCGCTTTCTTCGACTGAACGTATGTTTACCGTAAAATAGCAAGTCAAAGTGGAATGCAATTTACAGACAATTGTTATATACAATTTTACAGAATTAATGACAATTAAATATGCTACCGTAATGACCGATTCGATTTTTATCGAGTATTAAGCATCATAACGTACTTATGTTTTTTTTCCACTTGAACGGTATCGTCTAGCGACATAGTTTTTTATCTGATAACAAATGAACAGGTTAAAGTTTGATTGTGTTGTAATTCACCTTTGCGACTACTGAGAGGTTTTGATAACGCTTGTTCTATAACGCGGTATCGATATAAATCGGTAGAGCTGAATGTATACAAATTGTAATATGGTAGGGCGTGTATGCATTTTTATGCTTGCACGCACAAGTTGCGGGAATAAAGACAGGAGTGAACATGTTTATAATTCCTGCACTATCGAAGTTTAACGGAAACTTATGGGCATGACACCAGAGAGCCGTTGGTCTTATTCATGCAATTGTTTATCTGTGGACCAATTGAGTCATTGCAGGGAACTCCTGGAAGGCGTCTTTACAAAGTTCGAGGTCCAGTTTTAATCACTATTGTGTAGTCGAGCGACTTGCCAATTTTTATGTTGAAGGTAATATCAGCGCGGTACCGTCACTTGTAGCTGAATTTAAATACCAAAGAATATTCTTCAGGAAATAAGTTCAGTAATTAAGTGTTCCTTGATTCTCAAATAAAACTGACAGTCTTCGATGCAGCGAACTAAAGAAATCTGTATCGTTCCAAAGGAAAAACAATGAAGATATGTTTTCGTTATACTTGTGTTTTAACAATAATACGACGGCCTCGTGTGATACTAATTTCTAAGTTACCACAATATTGTTAATCACACGTAGTAACGCATTATCGTATTTCTTACCTGAAGCGGAAGCTTTTTAGTTTCGTTTCTCCATGATTAAGTGTAATGGAACTATACCCAAAGCTGACTTAACTAGTACAACTGGCAAAGTAACGCTTGCGACATTGCAGATGTTATTATCGATTGCAGATTGAGTACGATAGATATTTTATCGTAGGATGGTGGGGCTGTGTTATCTTATTTCAACGTATTAGCGACGATTCGCTGTACTCTTTTTTTCAACGTACTTTAGCACGTTGACTTAATTAAAACGCACCCTGCCTAATCTATATCCTGCACGTTCCGGGAAACATTGTTTTGACCATTTTGAGAATATTTATTTCTGGAAGCTACTTTAAAAATAACCCAACAACTAATTCACCAAAAAAGGAATGTATTGTTTTTTTTCCACGAATACATTCTTTTACGCAACGTTCCGACAGTAATCACACGAAATATGCTGTTATGTATATCGTAAATGTTTTATATATTTTCTACTTCCAACTCTCTCTTTCTGTACATACGCGTTTATTCATTACCTACGAAACAGACTCACATTCGAGGTCACTGAATGATATACGAAACTCACATGTCTGCTTAGAACTTATTATTTTACATTTTAATCGAAATAGAGCGTCAACATTATATAGTATATCTATTCAACAGAATAAGTTAGTTTATACTCGCGAAAAATAAATAAGGCTTGTTAGGGTTTACATTATGCTGTAACATTTGAACAAGTTTCCTTAAAACTACAGAACAGATTTAAATATTTATAAATTTACTATGTAAATCCGGACTTTATAGGATTACATAAAACACCTAAGCTCTGTATGATTCCCTAACATATATTCCTCAATCTTTATTCTTACTAACTTAGCACATTGTCATTACACGTAACAAACCTTTCTTTTAATATCTCTGTACTTCTAGGCTATATCGTTTTGATACCCATAGTTTCCATGACCTCTAGAATGTGCACATCAATTTAGGTGCACCGATTATTTAAACTTAAGTATAAATTGCAGCAAATGTAATTAAGCCTTCTTATATTTATGTCTAATATTCGAAAGAAACTATTTTTTACATTTTCTTATATTACAGCTGTTAAATATTATATGCACTAACGTCCTACCCAAGCAATTAATCAATTTAATGATATGCAGTCTGATAAAATGGAATCAAAGTATTAATTTAATCGACTTTAATTTAGTAATGAAACACTGTTTATATTAAATCCTTTCATTTTATATAATCATTTATGATCATCTATAATTGGATCTTGTTCAAGAACGAAAACAATTAATATAAACATAAATGTATGATTTCATACTTCTATGTAATTTAATAATGACTTAAGCACATCTTTCATCTGAACCAAAAGAAAGCTATTTCATACGTTTTAAGGCTCGCACACATTATGCCGGGACGGATCGCAGCGCATCGCTTTGCAAAAATCGCACGGGATTCGATTACATAGATTTTATATCGCATATAATAGACCGAATGTTGCAATGCGCTGCGGTTCGCCCTGGTTATAATGTGCGCGAGCCTTTAGTAAGCATAAAACAGTATGAATGTTCATTCAATCTATTACAATCATTATATTCAGTGCAGTGATTAAATCTATTGGTGTAACTAGACTAATTCAATTTAAACAAATGTTTGAAAAACCAATTGTGAATTATAAATCCTTATCAGTATAGAATTCACTTTTGTGACTTCACTCTTTACTCTTGTCATGCTTCTATTACCTTATTTGAAACGTTTTAAAATTTGTAAATGTTTTGTTAAAAATCAAAGCCTAATGATTTACATATTTTGTGAACTCAAATACAATAATGAATGATCTGATTAAAAGAATTAAGACACTCCTGTAGAACAAAAAATTAAATGATGTCGTCTTTTACAAAAGATAATATTTTCTTTCAAGAGGTAACGTTTACATACGATATTTGTGTTTTTAAATCCTATAACCTTCATTTTGCTTCGGAATTTTGCACTATTCTTTACAAAATGACACTAATCAATGTACATACTGAATCTGTTTCAAAACTTCAACGAATTTAAATTAATAAGTATTCAAGTTAATCTAAGCTAGGAAAGTACGAACCGTTGCACGAATTTCTTGTCGACACATGGGACAATGCGTAAGTGATGGAGCACAGTGTACACAGGTAGCTAAGTGTCCACATGGTAAGAAAACTACTGCAACCTCCCGGTCCATGCAAATTTTGCACAGACGCGCTTCTTTCAGTCTTCTATTTTCTTCTTCCAAGGATACTGTTATTATTAAAACAAATTATTATGTTTAAATGTGAAATGCTAGGCCAAAAGAAAATATTGTTACAGTTACATCAAACGTATTGTATAAGTTACTACCTACTTATTTTCATTATCTAAGTTCAGGTATGGAACATGATTGCAAGAGGATAAACTCACCAGTTTCACTTGTTTTCTCAGGACTCTTATTTTCAGCTGCTTTCTCTTCGAGCACTTTTGGTTTGTCATTATTTAATATAGGTGCGTTCTCAGTGTCATTATTTCTGCGGTAATCCAAAGATATACTATTACTACGTGAGCGATTAATTCGTTGCCTTCTTGAACTATTTGATGACTGTAAATTTATGATTTGAGCTAACAAATTAGTCAGTTCAGATGATGGGGAATCCGGCGTGTGATTATCGAGTCTGAAGAATGAAAATTAAATTAGGAAGACATTAGAAATGAGTGTGCTTTAAATAATCAGTAAAAAGAAAAATTGTTGTATTACCTGCTGTCATCTTCTCTAAATTGGACATGGAGAACATCCCCTATGAGCTGATCAGCATTTGTATATGGAATTCCTGTTTCTTCCATTCGTCGTTTGAATGCCATTTTTATCCGGCCCACATGTAACCCAATTTCCAGTGCAGCCTAGTGATAAATTCATATGCATTATTTATAACGAAACCAAAAATTTTGTATTGTAGTTATAATTAAAAATATATTAAAAGCAGATTAGGGACAGTTGTGTTTTTTTCATTTAAAGAAAATTCATTAAACACTTTTTTTTTTAAAGTTCTAAGTTATACAATTTTTAGAAATCTGAACAAACTACCGATTAATACTTTAAGAATACGTAATTGTGTTAATAATACTTTGCATCATGCATGAGATTTTTCATACATCGTAATTACTACATTACAACAAATACAGAAGAGATTGCTCACTCTTGCAGGGGCTGTACTAAGTAGATCTTCCAATTCAGCATCCGTTACTTCCCGGGGTTGGGGTGAAGTTACTGCAGGAATCGAAGGTGGTGGAGTCTCTGTAACATCTGTTCCCTCATCTTCCGATACCCCTCCAAGTATCTAATTTCGAAGCAGTAATTAATATGTATGTTTCAATGACATGAATTTAAACCATTTTGCAAATAATATTCAATACATCATTTACAGCTACTTATTGAAAATTGTAACAATCCAATACAAATGTATTATGTTAAAATTGTCATATTTTATTAATATATGGAAGAGGGCTTTTATTCGTATTCAAATGACAATTATGATAACTGTCACTTACCGCAGGGTCTAATGGAGGCCTGGTATCAACACAATGTTTAATGAATTCTTGTCCACGCACAAGAGATACATAACCACATCGCGGGAACCATCTTGCATGTTCCGTCCATGCATCATCCGTTGCTTCCCAGTCACGTAAACCACCATCGCAATGAAAACATCTGACACGATCTCCTATACCTATTTAATGTAAATATTGAGTTTAAGTTTAAACGAATGATGGATAATAATATATACGGTATATACATTATTATAGAAATGTAAAATAAACTAATTTTATCAGGATCTTTTTATATAATATTGTCTTACCAAAATAGTAAAATCCAGCATTTGCTAACATTTCTGGGGTTTGTCTAAGATTTTCTGGCCAACCTTCAAATGTTCGTAGTCTTCCTTCATATGTAGCATGTTTCGGTTGCCTTGGTGCACTGTGTGTTTGAATACCTAACTCTTTTAAATCTGAACTGGTACCAGGCAATAACCTTACATTGCCAAGTTCAACCTTCTCTGTAGACATTACTGCGACATTTAACAAATGTTAGTATGAATTTTGTAAGAACTTTTAAACGAACAAGTAAAGGAACTCTGTTTTGTAATGTTCAAATTTTGATTACAGAAAATATCTTGATAAACCCATCAGGTAATTGTGAATTAACGTCGCAATTAGTCGTACGTAACAAAGGGTTTTGTGTTGAATTAGAATTTTAAATAGTTACTTTGAATACTACATAATTTACCTGATCCCATTTAGAATTCACTACACTAAATAACCTTGTAGACAAAAAAGATTTTATTCAAGAGCACTGTTTCCTGCATAAATCTACAATAATTGCTGGCACTGCTTAGTGACATTGGCAACAATACTATATTTAACTCTGCCATAGTCACATGATGTGAAGCACTATTTATATATTCAATCGTTACATGTTATAAGTTTTTAATCGGAGTACATTGAACTTAATATATACTGAATGTAGTTTTTAATTTTTTTACTTTATATATCCATAAACAAATAAAAACTTTGTGCAATTCAGAGCCCATTTGAGATTATATCGACATTCTTCTGAATATTCATACATTATCTTTTATTAAATCGATAATTTTCTAATATATATATATAATGTAAGATTTATTCATAGGAAAAAATATATATACCTTCATCAACATCTTGATGCATATAAAAATCACAATTAGGAAAATGAATTCTGTGCTCTCTATCAGGGTCGTCACCAGGTTCCCATTTCATCACAAGGCCTCGACAAAATGCACATTCAACCTATTATTAAAAAATATAAACATAACCCATACAATTTTTCAGGAGTTGGTTTAATCTACTTATTTGTTTAAATATAAGTAAACATTAAGGGCCATTTTAAAAATAAGAAATGTCAATATAATGAAATCCACAGTGTATATAAATAATTAATCCATTCTTATTACAAGATGTTCATTTAACCATTATTTCAACAATCATTATTCACTCCCTATGCTATAGTAATAATGCCACACATAAAAATAATAAGAATTCCTATTGGAATATTATTTACTTTATTAAGTATATTACCATATCAGCTTCTTGTAAATAATAAAATCCAGATTCAGCAAGTCTTTCAGGTGGCACGATCGATGATATAGGCCAATTCTCAAAGGACCTCAACCTTTGTTCTTTGGTTCTGTATTCAATTTGAGGATTTTCGCTTCGAACAACTCTAGAGGTAGTCGAAGTAGAAGTTCTTGGGGGTTGCTGTGATACCTGAACGAGTGGTACATTACATGTATTCGATGGTTGTAAGACAAATGGACAATTTGGTTGCACCTGTCGATGTCTTGCCATAGCTTGGTCCCCATAATTCCACTCGGAAATCCTTGCTCCACAAGCGAAACACTGCACTTCTTGTGCCAATCCCGTGTAATAAAAACCAGCCTTTGCTATTCGAGCACAGTCAACGGCAGCATTCACCGGCCAATCCGAAAATGTTCTTAACCTGTTTTCCTCGACATTCATTTTATGTGTATTAACGTTTAGCAGCAAATCGGATGATGTCAAAATTTATAAATTCCAAAGTACTCGCGTGTTTGTTAGCTTTGCGTCAAAGTTTTATACAACAACACCCAGACATCTTGCAGAGCTTTCTTATGCTCGGACTTGTTACAATTACCTTCGATCTGTCGTTACAGTTGCAGAGTAACTAGGTACAATTTATTTTGAGGTTAGGTTTTTTAATAGCCTTTCTTCGTTGTTGTATCATTGATTGTTTTATGCAAACAAATTTCGCGATTAATCTATTTTGAGTGAAGATGCCTGTCTGACTTGAACGTTCATTCAAACAGCAAATAAAAGATAATCATTTTGCGCATGAGCCAAACTTTAAATGCGCGTTACTACGTCGTTTAAACAAACTGGTTGGTAGCAGGTGTCAGAAAGCGACAAGCGTAATTTGAAGTAAATATTCTTACGGGCATATAAATATCAAAGTTCCCAATTGTTACTACAATTCGTAGCTTTGAACCGGACTTTCTGCATGTTGTCACCGCCTATCGTACTTCGTAAATTACATTTAATACTCCTATCTCTTCTTCCTTACCCAAGTGCACCCAAGTGTCAAAAACGTCTTACAGATGGAGTTGGGAGGTTGCTCATGGACAGGATCGAGCAATCACGTACTGTGCTGCTCTCGGTGGAGAATGCAGGCGGCTAACGCACTTGCCTCCAACGGCTGCCCAACTCAGAGGTCCAACTCATCTCCGGCACTACTCGCGTGCTCGCGTGGGTTTGCGTGGGATCACGTGGGATGTTTATACTGGTTTATACATTTTGCTTAGTATGGTTATGTACAATTTTCATTTCATAAATAACAGAATATATTTATAATTATATATAAAAATAAAATTAGTTATGAACATTTTTAGAATATTAATTGGTGTTTGAGTACGTTATAATTAGAAGAAAAAGGGTTCTTAAGGAAAAATGTCCTGCAAGGTACCACCATCGACGATGACTCTGAAACAGGTGTTACTTTAATAATAAGCATAAAATATTGTACACAAAATATGGATTACTTTTATCTGATAAATATTGTAGTTCATGGTCCATCAAGAAGTCTTGAAATTGTATCGGAACATTATGAAAACAATTCGTAAAGTACCAAATGAAGCAGATAGGAAATACTTAACAGACTGGGCCAAAGCAGATTTCAGAGCTAACAAAAGTGTTACCGATGAAGTAAGTTTAATATTCGTAAATTATGATCATCATAAGTATAAATTAATTTGGTAAAACTACGTTGAAAACTCATACCAATTGTATTCCTTGTTATCGATGATTTAGGTTGTCACATGTTGTATTACTGCTCTTAATAATTTTTAATTTAGAAAGTAGGATTCACTTTTCCAGATATAAAAGCATTCAGATTTCTAACTGTTACAGTTCGCTATTAAGTCCTTAATAGTGCACGGGGAGACTTCATTGAGGGAGCTTAAAAGAAATTTATCCTTGTCAGAGTGACATAAGTCGTATTATCTTTATCTACAAGATTCCTTGATTCATTTATGTATATAAATATATGTATATACATATATATTATTAGAGAAAATATAATAAAATAGAGATTACATTTATGAATAACCTATATAACTTTATTAATAAACATATGTACAGCATTGATGCCAAATAAGATACTACCCATGCATGTTATTGTCAATGCTATAGCATGACGAAGACTTTTATGACGTATGACAGATTTAAGTAAATAATGTGTTAAAGTATTTGTAATGTATTCACTATCGAAACAGAAACAAGGTACAGCATTGATAATAGCCAAACCTGCTGAAAATGCAATAATGTATTTGCAGAAAAGTGCCAACGTTTCTGGAACTTCTGAGTGTAAGATATTGTATTTGGGAATCCAGTCAGAAACATCCACAGTACGATAAATATCACCAGGGTATCCAAAAAAAAGCACATCTTTTCCTTCCTGTCTTTTGATTTGTACCACCTATAATTCCCCCCGAATTTAGTTAATGACAACACATACATTAAACTATGTTTACTGTTACTATTGTATTAATTTACTCACTTTAGTGACATTATCCAAGGAAGGTCTCATACAGTATGTACCTAGTGAAGAACAATGCTGACTTGACTGACAGAATTTCTGTGATTGGTCAGCAATAATTCTAGCAGGAAGACAAGAATGTAATGGCAACTGTAAAGGAGCAACTTGTGTACCTTCCACATATTCGAAACACAAACTGCCATTTATTTCACTGTCAGCACTGCAACAATTTACTGCTCCATTAGACATGTGTTTAGCTGGAACTGACTCATCATACTCCTGCAAAAATGATTTATCTACAGATCGATATCTTATTAAAATAAAAATTCTTGATTAAGCTATTTGCAATAATTTTCTGTATTTAACATTGAGTTACCTGAAAAATCTTTTGAGCGATGCAGTATCCAGAAGTGGGTTGCCGCACTGCATTTAGAATGCACTGATACCAGTCATCCTTGTCTTTTACCACACAATCGTTTACTTTGTATATTACATCTTGAACCAGAAGACCAGATGGTCCCAATAGCGGTGAATTCTGTTAATATAGATGCATGGTTCAATGTCCCACAAAAACAACTAAAGAAGAGGTGTTGCATAAAAGTCAATGATGCCTCATCGATGCATACATTCACGAATCCATACAATTTAACTATTTATGTGTAAAAAAAGGAATTCCATCATGTAGTCATTGTGCCTTTCAACTTTTGAATTCCCAGAGAGGATTTCACGTTACAAAATACCAAAGTAGTAATGTATGAGAAATCATTATGATTCTTTTAAATTACAGCTTTAACTTAAGATATTAGCAAGAAACAAAGATGTCACAAGCTAAATTGACCAGAAGGATGCAAATCCCATAAACACATACAATATTAAAAATCTCGGTTAACTCTTACATGGGTAATGGCTTTGACCGATATTCCAGATCCTATAGTGTAAAATGGAGTCCACATCCAAGTTGTTACAATAAGAACTATGGTAACTACCAAAGCAAGGAAAACATTGTGCCAGATACCAGCACAAATTACACGTAATTTGTTACACACTGGCAGGGCAGCTAACTGTTCCTTGTTTATATCAGTATAAGCCATTGGAACGATGTAAATCAAACCTATTCCCATTCCATATACTTGTACATCTTCTCTAGCTGCAGCTAGTGCATGTCCTAATTCGTGCACTACAATGCATACAGCAAGTGTCAGTGTATAATATCCGATGTCATTAAATGGCATGTTTACACCTGGCAACTGTAACATTGGAAATATAAACAAAAATAACAAATATATAAAACTTAAGAACAGTATACGTGTTAAACCATATTTAATTTGAACACTTCCCACCAACATGAATCACTAGAGTTTATAAAATATGTATGAATAAAAGGCAACACATCTTACCATTGGTTCTAATATTATTACTGAATTCTTGTCACCCTGGGCAGATCCACCAAATAATAAATCAAATGACATTTTCATGACCATCAAAAATGAAACAGGAACCAGAATAATGCTTATAATAACTCCAATGTTAAACCACGCTGACCAAAATTTTAAACGGTCCATTACCCATTTAACGATCATTCTGTTAAAAGCAGTGGTATACCATTTAATTTGCAATACTTGAATGTCCAAACCCGTATTTTGTAGGAAGTAAAGGTAGGGATAGTGCGAACATGACTGAAATAAAAAAATTAGAAATTCTTACATCATGTACACATACACAATTAAACAATTTAATATTCTTAAAGAACTTACTCTGAAGAGGACATTGAAGAAGAATAAACAACAATGAATAAGACCTACTCCAATTAAAAAGCTTACGGCGTCCATCTGTGCGAGTTACTTATCCAAAAAGTAAATATTTCATTTTATTAAACGTTTATCGGTCGACATGGGAAAATTGTGCAAGGTTACGCGTTACGCCGACTAGAAAATATAAACAAATTTCATTGCACCAATCACGTCATACCATTGAACCGGTGGAGCTTGGAAAAAAGTCAGCGCTATCTATCGATTTTATTTCGAAAACATTATATATCAATGCATTCAGTCAGTAAAACAGATAAACACTGTTACCATGCTATAAACAGAGAGCTACAAAGTATGCGGAACAGATTAAGCTTCATATATTTCATATATTTTACGCATTCTTATTAACACAACTTTATACCTTCTCAACGTTAAATGCGATTGAAGAGTCAATAAACATTTATATTCCTGCGCATAAATGGTACATCGACTGTCGATACAATAGATATTTGCCTATTCGGCGAAATTGGTACAAAGGAAAATTTGAACACTGACATTTACTTAGAGAGCATACAAAAATATATTCTACAAAATATGTATATTTCCATGGGTATTAAAAAAATTATTAATATTTTACTAAAAATTATCTTTGATTTGTAAGACAAAGGACAATATCTGAAATGATCAAATATAATCCCATGTAGTCTAGTGGCTAGGATAGCTGGCTTTCACCCAGCAGGCCCGGGTTCGATTCCCGGCATGGGAAAATACTTTTTTTTTTCGCTCAGCATCTCATTCCTACGTGTAAATCAAAGTCAATATTTTTTAGATTTACATTAACACGTTCACGCCGGCGCGTACCACCGGTGGCTCGCGCTTGATTGCGCCATCGGGCGGCGCGTACCACCGGTGGCTCGCGCTTGATTGTGCCATCGGGCGGCGTGTACCACCGGTGGCTCGCGCTAGACGCATCATCGGGCGGCGTGTACTACCTGTGTTTCGCATTCGATTGTGCTATTAGACACTGATAATTTAACGTACATACATAAAAACGTGTATTTTGAATAAAAATTATAATTAATAACGTATTATGAACATAAATTTTGCTTAATAACACACACATAAAAATTCAGTATTATGAATGTAACTTCAACACTCAAATCTTCCCCCGAGGAACATTTCATAACGTTGCTGTTTACGTTAACAAAATCTTCGCCTGAAGAGGAAGAAAGTATTCGTAATCTTGATGCGTTTCTCCTGCCTCTATTTACACATTCATGAGACGAATCACTTATTTCCATATCCATGTTATGGGCAAAATTAAACAAATATTTTTAAGGGCAAAATTAAAAAAAATATTCTAACCACCTTTTAGTTATTTTTACTAACAGAAATCTGTGGTTAGGATATAAAAAACGGCACGAGTCACATAATTTGCAAAGTAAGCGCTCAATGTAATACTGAAGAAACAAGAAGCGCGTGCAAGTCTGAACACGCGAGAAATGCGCGCCGCCAGATGAAGCGCGACATAGATTTGTGTGCCGCCGTTGGGGGAAACAAATGAAAATTGGCGCCGGCGGGAACGTGTTAAATAAGAACCATGTAGAAGTAAACAACAGGTTTTGTTTAAATCTCAAAGGAAATAAGCAAATACGTAAAGTTATGTAGGAGGTGAAATTACCGAAGGCGAATCTACTATTGACAAGTCTATATTTTCCGTAGATTCACAGGTATAGTTATTTGACTTATTGTTAAAGAAAACGTATATAAAATTGATTCAAGCGTTCCGTTCTGCGATCCTCGACCAAGTGCCGTCCCGTCCACTGTTCGCAGGGACCGTCTTGGTCTAGCCGTATCAATTGTTTAGGCCATGCTCATATCTTCTAAACATGCTCGCCTTTCCTCGCCCATTATTCTGGGAATAGGTCCGCCCATGGACCTTCGATCATTTTGCCTTGCCTCTTCGAAATATTTCCTTCAGTTAAGAGCACGTAATATGTCTAATACAGTAATATTTATATTTGACCTTATTGTCCTTTCAGTGTATACATTTATTCTAACATTTCGAAAACGTATGCATTTATACCAGCAACATTTAAAAAACAATTTGGAGTTGAAGTACCGCAATTCGATACCGAGTTTTGAATCGTGGAGCGAAGAGTAGATAGCGATTCGCGGAAAATACGGTTTGCGATTCGCGTCGGGTTGTGTTGCGCGTTCCAGTCGCACGGGGGAAGGAGGACGCGAGGATCTCAAGCCTCGGCGGGACCACCGTCTGCCGAGCGTCACGAGTCGGTCTGTAACTCTCGGCAGTGCCATACAGTGCCCCGTGATCCTTGTTCCCCGAGTTCCATCGCGTAACCTCGTACCCTTCCTGTGGATCTCGCGCGAGTGCGCCTTGGCCGGTCCGTGAACTGCCGTGAACCCTGCAGCCTCCTGCATCCGTGTAGGAATTCCTGGCGTGCGCATGCGCGCACGCGTTCGCCTCTGGCGGAATCGGACGAGATGGCCACGGGTTGGGCGATTCGCGTGCGGCCGCGTTCGCTGAGGTCACCGCGCCGGTTCGAGCGAAATTCGAGACTCTGAAACGGAAAGAGAAAGGCAAGAGCGGGAGCTAGGTTAGGTTAGGTTAGGTTAGGTACGGCGGTGGGACCCGATGTCGACGGCCTCGCTCCTCGAGATGCACCCGTGGCACCGGCCGGTGCACGAGGGCGGCGCCGAGGACGACTCGGGGGGCTCTCTACTCCTACTGCTACCCGTCGCCATGGGGTTCGCGACCATCTGGAGCGTCAACCGGCGCATGTGGTGGGTCAACGCTGTGCAGCACCATCCAGGAGTTCCCGTAAGCACCGCCGTCAGCAGGCGGCGCCGGTGGCGCCCCGTCGCTTACCCCAGGAGGCCACCGACCTTGACTTGCCTCGACCAGCGGTGCCATCGATGTCTCGCCGACTCGCGAGAACGACGTACAGACTGCGAACCTTTCGCTTTGGAAAAGGTACGCGTGAAGAGCCTTATCTGTACCCTCAAAATGTATGAATTTTCCAGCAGAAATCTGGAGAAACGACCATTTTGTCCTTAATAGATTGTGGAAACACTTACCGAGCTCCGAGAGATTTTTTAATTTTTAGCTTTTCAATATAAAGGTATATTATAGAATCTAAAGCTACGCGCTGTTCTTTTTTTTTTTTCGAAAGTACACGGGTGAAGGGTGAAGTAACCGGAGTAGATAATTCTATTTATAGGAACTTGTAGTTCGCGGGCTTTTAAGATAAACATTCAAAATGGCGGACCGGCTGTTGGCGGACCTGGAGATGTCGGTGGAATCTAGGGATTTTTTTTCGGGATACTGCTCGTGATATTTCAAGAGCAGACGAAATATTGACGCGGGGATTCTGCTTGTCGTGTTTATTGTGTTTTTGCCGATTGATACCTCTTAAATTGTCAACTGTTCTGATTTGCACCAGAAGGAAACATTCAGGGATTCCAGGTATAAAAGCACGGAGAAATACATAACCTTTAATTTACCTTATCGATTGTACGCGCGTAACCTTCAACCGCTTTCAAAATGACAATTTTATCAATACATCGCAAGTATATGTTTACTTTTACGACCAGAGACGTAGTATTGGTCACTAGTACATAAGCTATACGTTATTTTTTTTTATTAACGTACATTAATCTTCAGTTAATAATAACAGGTTTAGTTTCAGTGACTAAGTGATTATGCAATACGTCTGAGGTACGGAAATTCTCTTCAGGGAAAGCTGTAAATGATGTGTTTCTACGTTTATATGTCATAGGATACCAGCTTATCAGATGTTAGAGAAAGTAATATGACTGGAGGACGTCGGAATCTTGGTGGACGCAATGGCGTTGGTAATCGGATGCATATTAGTTCGAATAGTAATGCTGCTACCTTGACCTGTTCTAACAATGGACTTGGAGGTTGCAATGAAGACAAAAAACCTATGGATACTGTAAGTGGGCGGCCACTCGCTCCGAAACATGTTCCTGTACCTGTTGTACCTGTGGATGGGCAACTGATGTTCGAAGCTCTATCCCTGGGTGTATCAACCATTGCTGCATGTCTGCAACTATTAAATTTGTACAGAAGCGTGTGGTGGCTCCCTCAGTCTTACAATCAGAATAGTATGGTATGTGTTCGATAAAGTAAATGGGTAAATTAAAATGATATTTATTTTGTGGAACCAAAAAGTAGTGAAAAGTTACGAATTTATACCTTTAAAATTTTAATGAGAAAATTATTTCAGAACTTCTATCTGATAGACCCATACTTGCTCATATTTATCGCTATAATGTTAATGCGGCGATTCGTTTATGCACTTCTAAGAAGGTTAATTGATGTTGTCTCACCATCACGCTGGTTACCAGCAGCTCAAAAGATTATGAGGTATTCTAATTTATATTACTAAATTATGATTATTTGTGAAGAACCTTCAGTGCGTATTTAACTTTTTCAGGATTATCCTGTTGACAGTTGTCATGGGAATATTGTCATGGTGCTTATACTATATGAGTGAGAGACACAACTCAATGAAGGTCTTCTATCTTTGCTATCCGTTGGTATTTTTTGCTTTAACTGTTTGATTATTGTCTTTGAGAATTATATTGTTTATAAATAGAACGATAAATAGAACGTAATTAATGTGTACAATTAAATATAAAAATATAATTGTTTGAAACATAGTAGAATCATTTTTATGTAAATATTGAACTTTTACTTACTTTTATACTTTTAGGAGCATATCTGTGTACTTTCTGATGTTTGGCATGAGTGTGGGACCATTCTTTGACATTTCTACAGCTCCTCTCTATATTAAGGAAGAACGAAAGACAAAGTTCTTACTTGGTAAGTATAATAGAATTAAAATTAATATTTTTTACACGTTTATTTGGTGAAATATCATTCATAATTCTTTCAATTTGGAATAGATAAACCATTGCACAATTGTTCTTTAAGTGCAACGGCTATAAGGGCAGAAGTGTCTAGCTTGAAATCAGATTTCAACTGGCGGTTAAAGCGTGCCCTGTTTGCATCATCTGGAAGTGCATACGTATGTGGCATTGCGCCTGTCATATTTGTACCATCGCACTTACATTTCAACGTTACCTGGGTTGTACAGCATGTTGTCTTATTTTGGCTTGGAAGGTTAAGCGCACATTTTGCACAAGCGTACCCTGTCAGGTCAGTCCTATATCGATATTTTTTTGCATTTATCGTATATTAAAAATCTCTTACCTCATAGAGAAAATTTCATTATTAAATTAAAAATTGAGAAGCGAATAATTTGTTATAATCATAATTTATGTTTACAGATATTGCGACATCTTGCACAGAGCTGCACTTCATCTTGGAAGATGGACTAAAATCGAGGGCCGTAACAATCACGTTCCCATACAAATATGGAATGACTCCATACTGTGGCCTCATGGATCTTTAGTCAAACATAACAAGGAAATTTATCGTTCAGAAGGCCTTTGTACAGCCGCAGAACCGGGAAATACGAGCCATTACAGATTTCACGTAAGTACAAACACTGCTTCCTACTTATGAAGCTGTTGGAAAATTTGATTTGATTGCAGATACATGCAAAATTATTGGGTAAAAATATGAAATGTTTTCTTAAAGAATTATAATTTAATGAACAGGTACTCTTCAGTAATCCAACGATACTTCTCTGCCTGCTGTTAGGCCTCCAGTTAACGCTCGTAGCGGTGCAATTGATTATTCTTTTACGTACAATCGAGTGGTATCAAGTACTGTCAATGACACTGCTCCTGGTAACGAACTATTACACATTGTTCAAACTTGCCAGAGACTATCTTGTATGCTGGAAAGTGTACCGTGCCGAGCAGATAGTTCAAGAAAAAGCACAGGCTGCAATAAGTGGCACGAGCCAATAGACTGTTACGCTAGACGAGTGTTCGAATGTCCCTTGTGATCTTTTTATACTGTGAGAATAAATTATTTGCTATAAAAATGCTGCTTTCTCCTTACATTTCATTTCTTTTGCACTTTTATTTTGAAACGTGGATTATAAAAATATATTAACAACAATAAGATAAGTCTAATAATAATATATATTACTTCGGAATGTTGATTAGATTGAGTTAGTATCACTAGTTAACATCAATTGCTTGATAATTAAATATGCTAGCCATGTGATAAATACTGGAAAACCCTTTGAAAGGTTGTGCACAGTTTGCTAGATAATTAAATAACTAGTGAAATAATTAAAACCATTAACCATGTACCTGACATGTTAATTAAAAATGTATAATCTCTCGTGTAAAGATTTTAAAGTGTGACTACTATAAACATAGTATTGTGATTTGATATAAAAGAAATTGTAAATAACTTCTAAACTCTAGTGTCATGTTTCTAACTACATCAATTGCATGCCATAGTAGTGATTAGTGATAAAAAAATATTAATTACAACGGTACTGAGTCCGAATCTACACGCGTTTATGTTTGTGCAATACTGACAAACAATGAACATTCTTGTAGCGTACATGATTCTAGCAATGGGCTAATTGTACTATGGTTTCTTAAAGTGCAGAGGATCATGTCCCTCATTTTCATCCTTTTTTGGTATAATTTAATTTAGCGGAACGAATTCGAGTTCCTTCTTTGATTACTACCAGCTTTTAATACCCGTCCTGAAGGATGCAATGTAATTTCAGCGGATAACATTTAGTGGCACTGTCATGTTTCGTGGCAAGCGTGCAGTCAGTGATTCTGCCAAACTTTGGGCAAGCTCGTGCCAAATGTATTTTCCAAAGATTGGGACCTCTTCTAATGGAGGTTTAAAAGAAACTAATAAAGTGAGACATACACCATCTCCACTCTGACCACCACTGAATTCAACGGAGAGTAATCCATGTGGCCTGTGTTGTGGTACACTGTCTCCAAATATATCCTGTTTAGAAAAGAATAACAAAAAATTAATAAAAAGTAAAAAATTGTAATCCAAGAATTGATATTGAGTTTGAACATACCATGAAATATGTCTATTTAAAATTATCAATAATCTGGTAGAATATTTTGCCATACAATTGATATTACTTACCACCATGAATCTGTGCAGTGTCGAATGCACATTGCGACCAGGATTGATCTCAGCAATTGGTAAGTGAAGGGCAGATTTCTCTGATATCAGAACGTGCAATCTATTCCTATTAACATAAAAAATAAATAAAATACCATATTTCCCATAAAATAGATGACGGTTTTGATGCATTTGCTGTGTTAAAGTGATATTTAAATTTTCTCTTAGAATATTAAATAAGAATGATGACCTCATTCGAAGGACTTACGTTGCCTTTTTCTTGATGCAAACAATTAATCTCAAGTAAAGCTTGGCTCGAGACTGTACCATTGGCAGAACACTTGGATGCCATGGAATACCCTTGCTTTTAGTGTATTCCCTCGCCTTTTGAATTAAAGGCAGGATGTCTTTAGCTCTTAGAGACAGATCTTCTACCTTTTGCACCCAGCTAGCTTGCAGAGCTTCTTCATTGGCCTGTTCTGGAGTCTTTATTGTTCCTCCCAATATCTCCCCGGTCATTACAAAACGAAACCAAGACCCACTTACACATTCAACCATTAATAACGTCTTTGGTTCCATAATTAGGCCAGTCTCTTCTAACACTTCTCGCTTTACAGCTTCCACCAAAGTTTCATTCTTTTCTACTCGTCCCGCAGGAAGATACCATTCCCCAGCACAGGAAGGCTTTGCTTCCTGCATCATAAGTACCTCATCCTGGTCATTAACGATTACAGCTGCAACAATGTATGTCACTGTCTTCTGACAAATCGGTGTATAATCGGAGCTTGACATTGGTTGAATCCCTTTCACCTCTAAACCGAACAAAATTTCAATATTAGCTTAAACCAAACTTAAACTTCCAGATTCATAAACCATTGTTATATGATAACAGAGAAAATTAATTGAGATTCTGTAAAGTAGTGGACGAATTCAGGTAAGAAACATGCATACATTGCGCAATGCGCATTGCACAATTAAAATTCCAACGATAGGTGCTCCAACCTAGAGTCCTTTTCAGTCAGGTTACTTGCTACAACTATACATATGCCTCCTCTTACCCAGTGCTTCATTTTGCTGCTCCAGGGAAAAATCGCAGAAGTCATCGTCATTCAGGTTTTGCCCGGCGAGCACCAATCGAATTTTATCTTCAATTACGTCCGGCATTTTCAATAATTAGAGTCGATTAAAGTAACTGCAAAAATACGAAATCATTAACACGTTAACCTTACAGTACAGTTACGGGACATAGCCCTGATCATAAGTGTCCCGTTGCAGGCGTTCCGCGGTACTTCACCGACGTCAGCTAAGCACGTCGTTTTTTTCCCTCTGCATGCGTCAAAATATTCACCGTGCGTGTCGATAGCCTTTTCCTGCATTCCAGGCCATGCGTCTATGACCAATCAACGAACCGGTTCTCGCCACGAACTTAGAAAATTCTAAGTCTTATATCTGTAGTAAGTTATAGATAGCGATTTACCGACAGCTATCTGATTTACCGACAGCTATCTGATTTACCGACAGCTATATGATTTACCGACAGCGCATGTTTTCACATCTTAATACTGTGTGATTGATTTATAACGCCGTTGGGTGTCCCACAGAGCGCGATGTCAATACGTTGTTTTGAGAAGCCAATCAGAATGGCACCTAACTCCCATGTGTCATTTTCGTCACAGTTCTGATTGGTTTTTCATTACCGCGTTGGTGCCGCATTGGCGCACTATGCTCTGTGTGACACCTCCATTGCAGAGTGCACCGTTTCTACTGGCGGCTATCAGCTGGCACCATTATCGTCGAGTGCACCTGCTATCCGCATTCTCCGTCGAGGGTAGCACAGGACGTCATCTGTTTTTGCCAATGTGGCTATTTCGAGTTACACGTGATGTTTAACTTTTTCGAGAGTTGATTCAGTTGATAGAACAAGTATTATTCTGATCGACTTTTTTCTAATATTCTCATTTCTCTGGTCGTATTTAATTTCAAACGCAAATCGATTCAAAGTCTATTTAAAATTTGAAATCCATAACAGTTTATTGTTCTTATTTCAAATACGAAATGGAAATGGGGTTT